TGATTCTGTTCTGAAGTCTTTGGGGATTACATAAGTTTGATACAATTTTCATTTTTTAAACAACTAATTGACTGACCTGAATTCCATTTAGTTCGTTGTTTTTTTTTCTGTAAGCTCAATGCGCAGTTTCTCTAGAGATAAATCAGATCAAACCTGAACTGTGCGATGTAGTAGGGAGTTGTAGTTTCCAACAGGCCAATATTCTACATAGTTTATTGCAGAAAACGTGTTAATTCACTTCAATGACGAACCATCAAACAGGCAAAGAGTCAATACAGGACTAAGATTGAATCGTACTACACCGGCTCTGACGCTCGTCGGATGTGGCAGGGCTTGAAAACTATTACAGACTACAAAGGGAAGCACAGCCGCGAGCTGCCCAGTGACACAAGACTTCCAGACGAGCTAAACCACTTCTATGCTCGCTTCGAGGCAAGCAACACTGAAGCATGCATGAGAGCACCAGCTGTTCCGGATGACTATGTGATCACGCTCTCCGTAGCCGATGTGAGTAAGACTTTTAAGCAGGTCAACATTCACAAGGCCGCATGGCCAGACGGATTACCAGGACGTGTACTCCGAGCATGTGCTGACCAACTGGCAAGTGTCTTCACTGACATTTTCAACATGTCCCTGACTGAGTCTGTATTACCAACATGTTTCAAGCAGACCACCATAGACCCGTGCCCAAGGACTCTAAGATAACCTGCCTAAATGACTACCGACCCGTAGCACTGACGTCTGTAGCCATGAAGTGCTTTGAAAGGCTGGTCATGGCTCACATCAACACCATTATCCCAGAAACCCTAGACCCACTCCAATTTGCATACCGCCCCAACAGATCCACAGATGATGCAATCTCTATTGCACTCCACACTGCCCTTTCCCACCTGGACAAGAGGAACACCTACGTGAGAATGCTATTCATTGACTACAGCTCAGCATTCAACACCATAGTGCCCTCAAAGCTCATCACCAAGCTAAGGATCCTGGGACTAAACACCTCCCTCTGCAACTGGATCCTGGACTTCCTGACGGGCCGCCCCCAGGTGGTAAGGGTAGGTAACAACACATCTGCCACACTGATCCTCAACACGGGGGCCCCTCAGGGGTGCGTGCTCAGTCCCCTCCTGTACTCCCTGTTCACCCATGACTGCATGGCCAGGCACGACTCCAACACCATCATTAAGTTTGCCGACGACACAACAGTGGGAGGCCTGATCACCGACAATGATGAGACAGCCTATAGGGAGGAGGTCAGAGACCTGGCCGTGTGGTGCCTTGATAACAACCTCTCCCTCAACGTGACCAAGACAAAGTAGTTGATTGTGGACTACAGGAAAAAAAAGAGGACTGAGCATTCTCATCGACGGGGCTGTAGTGGAACAGGTTGAGAGCTTCAAGTTCCTTGGTGTCCACATCACTAACAAACTATCATGGTCCAAACACACCAAGACAGTCGTGAAGAGGGCACGACAAAGCCTACTCCCCCTCAGGAGACTGAAAAGATTTGGCATGGGTCCTCAGATCCTCAAAATATTCTACAGCTGCACCATTGAGAGCATCCTGACTGGTTGCATCACCGCCTGGTATGGCAACTGCTTGGCCTCCGACCGCAAGGCACTACAGAGGGTAGTGCGTACGGCCCAGTACATCACTGGGGCCAAGCTTCCTGCCATCCAGGACCTCTATACCAGGCGGTGTCAGAGGAAGACCCTCAAAATTGTCAAAGACTCCAGCCACCCTAGTCATAGACTGTTCTCTCTGCTACCGCACGGCAAGCGGTACCGGAGTGCCAAGTCTAGGTCCAAAAGACTTCTCAACAGCTTCTAACCCCAAGCCATAAGACTCCTGAACAGCTAATCATGGCTACCCGGACTATTTGCACTGCCCCCCCACCCCATCTTTTTACGCTGCTGCTACTCTGTTAATTATTCATGCATAGTCACTTTAACTCTACCCACATGTACATATTACTTCAACTACCTCAACTAGCCGGTGCCCCCGCACATTGACTCTGCACTGGTACCCCCCTGTATATATAGCCTCCCTACTGTTATTTTATTTTACTTCTGCTCTTTTTTTCTCAACACTTTTTTGTTGTTGTTTTATTTTACTTTTTTATTAAAAATAAATGCACTGTTGGTTAAGGGCTGTAAGTAAGCATTTCACTGTAATGTCTGCACCTGTTGTATTCGGCGCATGTGGCCAATCAAATTGGATTTTATTTGAATCCATTGCACGCCTACTTGTCCGGTCTGTGTGGGGCAGACATGGAGAGGGAGAGAAGAGAGAAGAACGTGCGATTGAGAGGGATAGAGACAGGGCGGAAGAAGGAAAGTGAGAGGGGTAACTCGGCCCAAAATGTGTCTCCTCCAGCAGGTGGCATTTTTTTGTTTTTGTTTCGCCCACCAATCGAGGAGTTTTTGTTTGGATGTCAATGAGAGAGTGTAGAATTTGGTCAATAAAAAATGTAATGGCTTATTTGTTACGTGAGGTTTATTTAATCTAATAGAAGTTTCGTAATGCTTAAGTTGTTACTAGTGTACTGATATAAGTAGGACACATGAAATCCTGGAAACTTTGAGAAAAAACACTTTATATCAGAGTTGTCCCTGTTGAAATTCGAGACGGTCTATGCATATTTATGAGGCTAGCATAGCATCTCACTCTCCATTGAAAACAGGCGGTTGACGTCAACACCCCTCATCAAATATTTTCAAAAAAGTATTCAAATAATGAGATGTATCCATCAATCCAAAGAGAGGAACAGGAGGGAGCTTGGTGTTGTATTAAAGTAAAGTATTGTGAATAAATGATGGTTCATAAGTGATCAGCCGTAATGGACAGTCACTACCATCATGGGACTTTTATTCATTGTTTTATTTTGTGTTGTTACAGCATTCAACCCACATAATTAATAGTGCGTTTAATGTTTTAAAAAATAAACCAAAACTGAAAACCGTGATTATTTTTTAATAATCGAACCAAAACCGAACCGACCTCAAAAAGCACAAATCGCTCAGCACTACCTTCTGGCGTCTTCTTCCTTTCGAAACCTTCAAATGTCTCCCACTAGCTAGCCAACCAAGCCACTGAACACTACAGTGCATATGTCAACATAACTCCACAACATAAGTTTTATTTCATTCCATTAAAAAAATGACAAACATCCATCCTACTCTCTGGACAGTACCTGTGTCTGTACTCTAGCTACTTGACATTAGTCTCTGGGCTGGAGGGACACGGTATCCTGGTCTGACTCTGGAGGCTGGTCTGGTCTGAGTAGAGGGGTAGTCCTGGGGCTGTGGTCTGGCGGCTCTGGGGCAGACGAGGTCTGGAGGGGGGTGTATAAAGGTGTCTCTTGTTGGGAGATGTGACGGCGGTCAGGCTAGGCCAGGTAGATGATGTTTCTCTGGGCTCAGAGGCCTGTGTGATGCATGTCCCACAGACAACCAGCCCCCTGCTACATCAATACCTCAACAACACCCACCCCACCTGGGCGTACTGAGAGATTTACCCGTCTACACACCATTCACTCACTGTCTCATACACTCCCAACAGGCCTGGTTAACACACTGTCCCATACATTCCCAACAGTCCTGGTTAACACACTGTCCCATACACTCCCAACAGGCCTGGTTAACACACTGTCCCATACACTCCCAACAGGCCTGGTTAACACACTGTCCCATACACTCCCAACAGGCCTGGTTAACACACTGTCCCATTCACTCCCAACAGTCCTGGTTAACACACTGTCCCATACACTCCCAACAGGCCTGGTTAACACACTGTCCCATACACTCCCAACAGGCCTGGTTAACACACTGTCCCATTCACTCCCAACAGGCCTGGTTAACACACTGTCCCATACACTCCCAACAGGCCTGGTTAACACACTGCCATACACTCTCAACAGGCCTGGTTAACACACTGTCCCATACACTCTCAACAGGCCTGGTTAACACACTGTCCCATACACTCCCAACAGTCCTGGTTTACACACTGTCCCATACACTCCCAACAGTCCTGGTTAACACACTGTCCCATTCACTCCCAACAGGCCTGGTTAACACACTGTCCCATACACCCCCAACAGGCCCGTTTACACACTGCGGTTTCCAGGGAATGTTTGTGAAACGGCAGCTCGGTAGTCGGTACTAAACAACGCTAGTGTTGAGCAGGGGCTACTACGCTTGAGAAAGCAGAGGTATATTTTTAATTTCTTGATAAGCTGCCTTGAAATGTTTCCATAATTAGCTTCTGGTTAACAAGCAAGGCACCATATTTCATACGACCCTTGTCACTGCAGTATTAGAGAGCCCAAAGTGTTTGGAACCGTTAGAGACCATGGCTCCATCCCACATGGCACCCTATTTTCCGATATAGTGCACTACTTTTGACCAGGGCCATATGGGTTGTACACAAAGTAGTGTACTATAAAGGGACTAGGGTGCCATTTGGGACAGGGCCCATATCAGGGTGGATTTGGTCTAATGAGACCCATTAACTCAGAGGGAGTTAGACCAGTGTTTTACAACAGGCCTGGTCAGGCCCCCAACCATCCATCCTTCAGAGAGCTGGGGAATGTGCCTGGACGATACACCTTGAACACGGACCCAGCTCCATCCATGAATTAGTAAACTGATCTGGCCCACTGGCGAGGTTAAACTGATTAAGCATTTGGACACAATTATGACACAACTGTTGCATTATGTCAGAGTTAGAGCCTGTCAACTTCAGCCCCGGTTGACCAGGTGTCCAATACAAAACCATGATAAAATGTTAAGGATATTACTAAAGCATAATATTGCATTCCAGATCAATGTAATTAGAGTGTATCGCATGTAGTGAATTGTCCATACTTTGATACCTGGTTACACAGTCTGAGACAGGTTAACTGTTCCAGTCTGAGACAGGTTAACGAGACAGGGTAGCTGTTCCAGTCTGAGACAGGTTAACGAGACAGGGTAGCTGTTCCAGTCTGAGACAGGTTAACGAGACAGGGTAACTGTTCCAGTCTGAGACAGGATAGTTGTTCCAGTCTGAGACAGGGTAACTGTTCTAGTCTGAGACAGGGTAGCTGTTCCAGTCTGAGACAGGGTAGCTGTTCCAGTCTGAGACAGGTTAACTGTTCCAGTCTGAGACAGGGTAGCTGTTCCAGTCTGAGACAGGGTAACTGTTCCAGTCTGAGACAGGGTAACTGTTCCAGTCTGAGACAGGGTAACTGTTCCAGTCTTGTACAGGGTAGCTGTTCCAGTCTGAGACAGGGTAACTGTTCCAGTCTGAGACAGGGTAGCTGTTCCAGTCTGAGACAGGGTAACTGTTCCAGTCTGAGACAGGGTAGCTGTTCCAGTCTGAGACAGGGTAACTGTTCCAGTCTGAGACAGGGTAACTGTTCCAGTCTGAGACAGGGTAACTGTTCCAGTCTGAGACAGAGTAACTGTTCCAGTCTGAGACAGGGTAGCTGTTCCAGTCTGAGACAGGTTAACTGTTCCAGTCTGAGACAGGGTAGCTGTTCCAGTCTGAGACAGGGTAACTGTTCCAGTCTGAGACAGGGTAACGAGACAGTGTAGCTGTTCCAGTCTGAGACAGGGTAACTGTTCAGTCTGAGACAGGGTAACTGTTCCAGTCTGAGACTGGGTAGCTGTTCCAATCTGAGACAGGGTAACTGTTCCAGTCTGAGACAGGGTAGCTGTTCCAGTCTAAGACAGGGTAACTGTTCCAGTCTGAGACAGGGTAGCTGTTCCAGTCTGAGACAGGGTAACTGTTCCAGTCTTGTACAGGGTAGCTGTTCCAGTCTGAGACAGGGTAACTGTTCCAGTCTGAGACAGAGTAACTGTTCCAGTCTGAGACAGGGTAGCTGTTCCAGTCTGAGACAGGGTAGCTGTTCCAGTCTGAGACAGGGTAACTGTTCCAGTCTGAGACAGGGTAACGAGACAGTGTAGCTGTTCCAGTCTGAGACAGGGTAGCTGTTCCAGTCTGAGACAGGGTAACTGTTCCAGTCTGAGACAGGGTAACTGTTCTAGTCTGAGACAGGGTAACTGTTCCAATCTGAGACAGGGTAACTGTTCCAGTCTGAGACAGGGTAACTGTTCCAATCTGAGATAGGTTAACTGTTCCAGTCTGAGACAGGGTAGCTGTTCTAGTCTGAGACAGGGTAGCTGTTCCAGTCTGAGACAGGGTAACTGTTCTAGTCTGAGACAGGGTAACTGTTCCAATCTGAGACAGGGTAACTGTTCCAGTCTGAGACAGGGTAACTGTTCCAATCTGAGACAGGGTAACTGTTCCAGTCTGAGACAGGGTAACTGTTCCAGTCTGAGACAGGGTAACTGTTCCAATCTGAGACAGGGTAACTGTTCCAGTCTGAGACAGGTTAACGAGACTGGGTAGCTGTTCCAGTCTGAGACAGGGTAGCTGTTCCAGTCTGAGACATGGTAACTGTTCCAGTCTGAGACAGGGTAACTGTTCCAATCTGAGACTGGGTAGCTGTTCCAATCTGAGACAGGGTAACTGTTCCAGTCTGAGACAGGGTAGCTGTTCCAGTCTGAGACAGGGTAGCTGTTCCAGTCTGAGACAGGGTAACTGTTCCAATCTGAGAAAGGGTAGCTGTTCCAGTCTGAGACAGGGTAACTGTTCCAGTCTAAGACACGGTAAATGTTCCAGTCTGAGACAGGTTAACTGTTCCAGTCTGAGATAGGGTAGCTGTTCCAGTCTAAGACAGGGTAACTGTTCCAATCTGAGACAGGGTAACTGTTCCAGTCTGAGACAGGGTACCTGTTCCAATCTGAGACAGGATAACTGTTCCAGTCTGAGACAGGGTAACTGTTCCAGTCTGAGACAGGGTAGCTGTTCCAATCTGAGACAGGGTAACTGTTCCAGTCTGAGACACGGTAAATGTTCCAGTCTGAGACAGGTTAACTGTTCCAGTCTGAGATAGGGTAGCTGTTCCAGTGTGAGACAGGGTAACTGTTCCAGTCTAAGACTGGGTAACTGTTCCAGTCTAAGACAGGGTAACTGTTCCAATCTGAGACAGGGTAACTGTTCCAGTCTGAGACAGGGTAGCGGTTCCAGTCTGAGACAGGGTAGCTGTTCCAGTCTGAGACAGGGTAGCTGTCCAGTCTGAGACAGGGTAACTGTTCCAGTCTGAGACAGGGTAACTGTTCCAGTCTGAGACATGGTAGCTGTTCCAATCTGAGACAGGGTAACTGTTCCAGTCTGAGACAGGGTAGATGTTCCAGTCTGAGACTTGGTAACTGTTCCAGTCTGAGACAGGGTAACTGTTCCAGTCTGAGACAGGGTAACTGTTCCAGTCTGAGACAGGGTAACTGTTCCAGTCTGAGACAGGATAACTGTTCCAGTCTGAGACAGGGTAACTGTTCCAGTCTGAGACAGGGTAGCTGTTCCAGTCTGAGAAAGGTTAACTGTTCCAGTCTGAGACAGGGTAACTTTTCCAGTCTGAGACAGGGTAACTGTTCAGTCTGAGACAGGGTAACTGTTCCAGTCTGAGACTGGGTAGCTGTTCCAATCTGAGACAGGGTAACTGTTCCAGTCTGAGACAGGGTAGCTGTTCCAGTCTTGTACAGGGTAGCTGTTCCAGTCTGAGACAGGGTAACTGTTCCAGTCTGAGACAGGGTAACTGTTCCAATCTGAGACAGGGTAACTGTTCCAGTCTTGTACAGGGTAACTGTTCCAGTCTGAGACAGGGTAACTGTTCCAGTCTGAGACAGGGTAACTGATCCAGTCTGAGACAGGGTAGCTGTTCCAGTCTGAGATAGGTTAACTGTTCCAGTCTTGTACAGGGTAACTGTTCCAGTCTGAGACAGGGTAACTGTTCCAGTCTGAGACAGGGTAACTGTTCCAGTCTGAGACAGGGTAGCTGTTCCAGTCTGAGACAGGGTAACTGTTCCAGTCTGAGACAGGGTAACTGTTCCAATCTGAGACAGGGTAACTGTTCCAGTCTGAGACAGGGTAACTGTTCCAATCTGAGACAGGGTAACTGTTCCAGTCTGAGACAGGGTAGCTGTTCCAGTCTGAGACAGGGTAGCTGTTCCAGTCTGAGACAGGGTAACTGTTCCAGTCTGAGACAGGGTAACTGTTCCAATCTGAGACAGGGTAACTGTTCCAGTCTGAGACAGGGTAGCTGTTCCAGTCTGAGACAGGGTAACTGTTCCAGTCTGAGACAGGGTAACTGTTCCAGTCTTGTACAGGGTAACTGTTCCAGTCTGAGACAGGGTAACTGTTCCCATCTGAGACAGGGTAGCTGTTCCAGTCTGAGACAGGGTAACTGTTCCAGTCTGAGACAGGGTAACTGTTCCAGTCTTGTACAGGGTAACTGTTCCAGTCTGAGACAGGGTAACTGTTCCAGTCTGAGACAGGGTAACTGTTCCAGTCTGAGACAGGGTAGCTGTTCCAGTCTGAGACAGGGTAACTGTTCCAGTCTGAGACAGGGTAACTGTTCCAATCTGAGACAGGGTAACTGTTCCAGTCTGAGACAGGGTAACTGTTCCAATCTGAGACAGGGTAACAGTTCCAGTCTGAGACAGGGTAGCTGTTCCAGTCTGAGACAGGGTAACTGTTCCAGTCTGAGACAGGGTAACTGTTCCAGTCTTGTACAGGGTAACTGTTCCAGTCTGAGACAGGTTTACTGTTCCAGTCTGAGATAGGGTAGCTGTTCCAGTCTGAGACAAGGTAACTGTTCCAGTCTAAGACAGGGTAACTGTTCCAGTCTAAGACAGGGTAACTGTTCCAATCTGAGACAGGGTAACTGTTCCAGTCTGAGACAGGGTAGCTGTTCCAGTCTGAGATAGGGTAGCTGTTCCAGTCTGAGACAGGGTAGCTGTTCCAGTCTGAGACAGGGTAACTGTTCCAGTCTTTTACAGGGTAACTGTTCCAGTCTGAGACAGGGTAACTGTTCCAGTCTGAGACAGGGTAACTGTTCCAGTCTTGTACAGGGTAACTGTTCCAGTCTGAGACAGGGTAACTGTTCCAGTCTGAGACAGGGTAACTGTTCCAGTCTGAGACAGGGTAACTGTTACAGTCTGAGACAGGGTAACTGTTCCAGTGTTGTACAGGGTAACTGTTCCAGTCTGAGACAGGGTAACTGTTCCAGTCTGAGACAGGGTAGCTGTTCCAGTCTGAGACAGGGTAACTGTTCCAGTCTGAGACAGGGTAACTGTTCCAGTCTTGTACAGGGTAACTGTTCAAGTCTGAGACAGGGTAAATGTTCCAGTCTGAGACAGGGTAACTGTTCCAGTCTTGTACAGGCTAACTGTTCCAGTCTGAGACAGGGTAACTGTTCCAGTCTGAGACAGGGTAGCTGTTCCATTCTGAGACAGGGTAACTGTTCCAGTCTTGTACAGGGTAACTGTTCCAGTCTGAGACAGGGTAATTGTTCCAGTCTGAGACAGGGTAGCTGTTCCAGTCTGAGATAGGGTAATTGTTCCAGTCTGAGACAGGGTAACTGTTCCAATCTGAGACAGGGTAACTGTTCCAGTCTGAGACAGGGTAGCTGTTCCAATCTGAGACAGGGTAGCTGTTCCAGTCTGAGACAGGGTAACTGTTCCAGTCTGAGTCAGGGTAGCTGTCCAGTCTGAGACAGGGTAACTGTTCCAGTCTGAGACAGGGTAACTGTTCCAGTCTGAGACAGGGTAACTGTTCCAGTCTAAGACAGGGTAACTGTTCCAATCTGAGACAGGGTAACTGTTCCAGTCTGAGACAGGGTAGCTGTTCCAGTCTGAGTCAGGGTAGCTGTTCCAGTCTGAGACAGGGTAACTGTTCCAATCTGAGACAGGGTAACTGTTCCAGTCTGAGACAGGGTAGCTGTTCCATTCTGAGACAGGGTAACTGTTCCAGTCTGAGACAGGGTAGCTGTTCCAGTCTTGTACAGGGTAACTGTTCCAGTCTGAGACAGGGTAACTGTTCCAGTCTGAGACAGGGTAGCTGTTCCAGTCTGAGACAGGTTAACTGTTCCAGTCTGAGACAGGGTAACTGTTCCAATCTGAGACAGGGTAACTGTTCCAGTCTGATACAGGGTAGCTGTTCCAGTCTGAGACAGGGTAACTGTTCCAGTCTGAGACAGGGTAACTGTTCCAGTCTTGTACAGGGTAACTGTTCCAGTCTGAGACAGGTTAACTGTTCCAGTCTGAGACATGGTACCTGTTCCAGTCTGAGAAAGGTTAACTGTTCCATTCTGAGACAGGGTAACTGTTCCAGTCTCAGACACAGTAAATGTTCCAGTCTGAGACAGGTTAACTGTTCCAGTCTGAGACCTGGTAATTGTTCCAGTCTGAGACAGGGTAACTGTTCCAGTCTGAGACAGGGTAGCTGTTCCAGTCTGAGACAGGATAACTGTTCCAGTCTGAGACAGGGTAGCTGTTCCAGTCTGAGACAGGGTACCTGTTCCAGTCTAAGACACGGTAAATGTTCCAGTCTGAGACAGGTTAACTGTTCCAGTCTGAGACATGGTAATTGTTCCAGTCTGAGACAGGGTAGCTGTTCCAGTCTGAGACAGGGTAACTGTTCCAGTCTGAGACAGGGTAGCTGTTCCAATCTGAGACAGGGTAACTGTTCCAGTCTAAGCACGGTACATTTTCCAGTCTGAGACATGGTAACTGTTCCAATCTGAGACAGGGTAACTGTTCCAGTCTGAGACAGGGTAGCTGTTCCAGTCTGAGACAGGGTAACTGTTCCAGTCTGAGACAGGGTAACTGTTCCAGTCTGAGACAGGGTAACTGTTCCAGTCTTGTACAGGGTAACTGTTCCAGTCTGAGACAGGTTAACTGTTCCAGTCTGAGACAGGGTAACTGTTCCAGTCTGAGAAAGGTTAACTGTTCCATTCTGAGACAGGGTAACTGTTCCAGTCTGAGACAGGGTAACTGTTCCAGTCTCAGACAGGGTAACTGTTCCAGTCTGAGAAAGGTTAACTGTTCCAGTCTGAGACAGGGTAGCTGTTCCAGTCTGAGACAGGGTAACTGTTCCAGTCTGAGAAAGGATAACTGTTCCAGTCGTAGACAGAGTAACTGTTCCAATCTGAGACAGGGTAACTGTTCCAGTCTGAGACAGGGTAGCTGTTCCAGTCTGAGACAGGGTAACTGTTCCAGTCTGAGACAGGGTAGCTGTTCCAGTCTGAGACAGGGTAGCTGTTCCAGTCTGAGACAGGGTAGCTGTTCCAGTCTGAGAAAGGGTAACTGTTCCAGTCTGAGACAGGGTACCTGTTCCAGTCTGAGAAAGGTTAACTGTTCCATTCTGAGACAGGGTAACTGTTCCAGTCTTGTACAGGGTAGCTGTTCCAGTCTCAGACAGGGTAACTGTTCCAGTCTGAGACAGGGTAGCTGTTCCAGTCTGAGACAGGGTAACTGTTCCAGTCTGAGACAGGGTAACTGTTCCAGTCTGAGACAGGGTAACTGTTCCAGTCTTGTACAGGGTAACTGTTCCAGTCTGAGACAGGGTAACTGTTCCAGTCTGAGACAGGGTAGCTGTTCCAATCTGAGACAGGGTAGCTGTTCCAGTCTGAGACAGGGTAACTGTTCCAGTCTGAGACAGGGTAGCTGTTCCAGTCTGAGACAGGGTAACTGTTCCAGTCTGAGACAGGGTATCTGTTCCAGTCTGAGACAGGGTAACTGTTCCAGTCTGAGACAGGGTAACTGTTCCAATCTGAGACAGGGTAACTGTTCCAATCTGAGACAGGGTAACTGTTCCAGTCTGAGACAGGGTAACTGTTCCAGTCTGAGACAGGGTAGCTGTTCCAGTCTGAGACAGGTTAACTGTTCCAGTCTGAGACAGGGCCTTGTTTTGTTCTCATTGTGGCTTCATAACGCTTTTATTTGGTGGTAATGTGGTGGTAATAAATATCAAAATGGCATCATTTTAGTATTTAGATCATATCCTAATTCTAAATTACTGTAGAAAGGGAGAGGGAGAGAGAGAGAGAGAGAGAGAGAGAGAGAGAGAGAGAGAGAGAGAGAGAGAGAGAGAGAGAGAGAGATGACAGTATTGCATTACTGTTAAGAGATTGACTGAAAAACTTTTATGGCCTGACAAGAACTTGGCCTGGCCTAGTCGACAAGGAAAACAAGCAAGATCTATCTATTTCCATGCCAAAACATCAGTCTCAGACCATTTCTGCCAGCAGTGTCATCATACTAATATATGTATCGCATATGCTCAGTGTTTCTCTACTACTATCATGACTCCCAAGGCAGCCAATTGGCAAATAGGATCTGACATAGGGCATAAGAGAAGGATGACAGGACATTATGGCTTCATTGCACCAATGGAATACATAGAATAACCATTGGGCATGGTTATCGACAGGCTTGATTGATAAGCGATTGGGAGGGTTGGTAAATGAATGATTGACAGTAGGCAGGGACACTCTGAACCCACAGTCATATAGTGGTAATATGGGTTGACACTGTCATTCTACTTACACCACAGGCTGTTACTGTGGGCTCCTGTTGCTTTGTGCTCCGAATCCAATTACTCTGGCCTTTCAAATTCTAGGCCAGCTATCAGAATTCAGGTTCCCCATACAATTATCAATTTAGTCCTGACATGTAGAATAAGCCTCATCTCTCTCTCTCCTCTATTGCCTCTGAGTATCCAAGTTGAACTGTACAGAGCTCTCCCTCCCCTTCTCCTCCAGTACAGAGTGTGGGTCTCAGACCTACAGACCTGACCATCTGGGTTAAACGACTGAATCATACGTCTTCATTGCAGGTAGCTGCTACCGGGCCAGAGTCCCGGACTCTGAAAGATTGTGCCGGCTGAGCAGTCCAGACAGGCCAGAGTGTCAGCGGCTCGTACTGGTACAAACACATTAATATCAACGTCAGTCGCCACCCACACCCTGCGCCCAGACAGCTCCGGTTTCAGTACAGCGTTCAGGGAAAAAGTCAGGTCATGTGCAGAACCTCAGTTTTAATTAGCTAATGGCACTTGTCGTTTCATCTCCTGCATCGGAGCTGATTGTTCACAAAAGACTCCATTTACCCGAAGAAAACACAACGCCATCTTGGCAATGGAAGCCGCTGTATGTCTCAACGTCTGCTTCTAGGGGATTTGGCCTCTCTTCCAAAAATCAGTCAAATAAATCTAAATATATATATATGTTTGCTGGTTTCACACCCGTGGAAAAAAAAAGGAAATTCCATGATCTATGCTTTTTTTCCAGCAGGACGCTGGCTGGCTGCAGTCAGTTTTCCTTCAGCCTGTGGTGGTGTGTGTGTTTAGAGAGTGGCTTCATTAGCAGCTGGGGTGTGTTTTATCATTATGCTGTGGGTGGCTCAGTGCAACTCAGAGTTCTCAATCATTCTCAAGACTAAAACCGAATCTTTATTCCATTTGGAGAGAGGGTAGAATACCAAATGTGTTCTTAAAGTAAAATGGGGTAACACTATTTTACGGTTCAAAGAAATGACCAGGTATTTACTTGAAAGTACATGGTAAAATGGTAATTACATCTGCACTCATTTCTTTTCAGGCAGCAATGACGGCCATAGCCAATATCTTTTAATGAATTATGAGTAAAATAAACCATATCTTCTATTTTATCCTACACATTGCTCAAATAAAGGGGACACATCAGTTGGCATTACGGCTCTGGGCCCGGTTGTATAAAACATCTTAAGTTAATTTCCCCCTTATCTTTTCCCTAAAAGTTTCTTTAACTTTAAGTCAGTTGCATAAAACATTTTATGGTGAGTTTCCTCCTTAAATTGAGTGATATCAATGTAAACACCATTTGTGGAGGTGAATGTTGCATTGCTAAGCCCTGGAAAACATCCACCAGCTAGCTAGCTACTTAGCTAAACAATGTAAGGTACATAATCCATGGCTACAAAGCTGCTGGCTAGCTAGGTACCTACTCTGTAAGTTCGCTTGATGTTCTAGAAAGTAATAGAAAGAAGTTGAAGAAAAAAATAACTAAAGGAAACGTGTTTTATTATCTTCTGAATCAATTTGTTTCTCCTCTTGAATGTAAAAGTTATATTTTGCAATCTCCCAAAATAAATGTGATCTCTTTGATGAGATGTTCAGTCAGTGAATCAGGTAATCTCCATAGTAACCAGATACTTTTTCTGCCATACACTCCTATAAACTACCGCAAAATCCTTAAATTATGCCCTTACCTAAGGAAATGTTTGAAGGGCTCTATGCAACACCGTTAAACAATTCCCTTAGGTAAGGCAAATGTATTCCTTAAGGTAAACCCTTAAGGGAAACACTTAAGATGTTTTATTCCCTGTCCTTAACAGGCACTCAATAGCCTCCACACAACAACAAAAAACAATGATGAAATAAACACACAGGGTTTAAGATTAAAGAGTATACCACCCCAATGAATTCTACTATCTAAAAGCTAACATGACTCAACTTTTCAGGTCACTGAAAAAAGTGAGGGAGCACAAGAAAATCCTTCAACAGGTCTTCTCAACATTCCCATTGTTCATTATTGGGCAAGACCTACAATGGACAGGATTTCAAAACAATTTCATACAATTTTTCCATTCAAGTAATCTGAAGAGACTTGAAGAGAGAGTGTCTCATCAACTTCTATATTATATAGGGATTCCACAGTTTAGATTAATATTTATCTGAACTTCAGGGTACGGAGTGGAGCGATCTGTCCCAGAGACATCAAATCCGCCGGACCGTCTCGATATAACCCATTAAGATATCAAAGCCTGTGACTATGTCAGGGCACCGGTCGCTGGATATATTTTTAATATTTATGCAGACAAAAGAAAAAATGTAATAAACTAAAACAACACTGTGAATTAGGCATGAAACACAACAGGATATTGCAGGGAGATTATGCAGTTTCTTTTTCACCCGTGCCTGCCTGACTACCATACAACAGCCCTGGGGCCCGCAGTAATTGGAGGGGGGAACTTAAAAAGCACCTCTACAAGTTTAGAGAGCTTTACAAGTGATCTGTAACGCAATGCTTACAGGTGGAGCTGCAATTTTTATGTGGGCCAGCGTTAAACATAGCCAGGTATGGACAGTGACAAGCGAGAGGTCGGGGGTACAACTTTGTGTTGTGATAATGACTTTTTCCAGCCAATACACCACATGAAACAAATGCTGTACAGCTGGAGGAAGCTGGAGGAGCCTGGAGGAAGCTGGAGGCACTGTTGTAGGCTGGAGGCACTGGAGGTGCTGGAGGAGGCTGGAGGCACTAGAAGAGGCTGGAGGAGGCTGGAGGCACTGGAGGAAGAGGGGAGTGTTATGCTTGGATGTGAGCGCAGCTCCAAGTCGTGAGCGCCCACTGGAATCTGCCGCTGGAGAAACAATAAGGGGATTAGCTGGGTTTTCTGGAGAGTTTGGTCCTAAATCGAAACGTCTCATCTGTTTCCTCTGTGTGAATAGCTAACATTCCTAAATGCCTTTGTCTATTGCATGAGTGTAGCAAACACAACAGGCATCATTCAAACGTTCCTGACTACAGAGGGAACATACGCATAAGAACTAAATAAGGACTTTAAAGAGATTGGGTTGAGACACTACGACATATACACACACACACACACACACACACACACACACACACACACACACATACACACACACACATTGTATGTATAAAAGCACACACACTACAAACATATAGCCCACATTTGTGACAGATTATGGCAGCGAACTATTTCCATAGTATTGCACATGTGTAACCACACAACCACATGTAAACACAAACTCATCGCCTCAGAGACATGCAAAACACGTGCACACTTTCTTCCACTTCCTCAAAGAATTTCTGTAGAACTTTAAATCTAAATACATGCTCATTAGAAGTGTTTATGCAAACCTGAATACATTTCACATTTCTGTTTATGTTCAATTTGAGAACTGAGTGTGACAATCCAACATGGATGGAATCAATACTTCCTATTGTAGGGGTTAACAGGAATTCACGTAAGTATGACTAGGATGTGTGTATGTGTGTAAGAACACTTTCTGAAGGTACTGTATAAATGTATGTGTGTGAAGGTATGTGTGTGTGTGAAGGTGTGTGTGTGTGTGAAGGTGTGTGTGTGTGTGTGTGTTTGAGGCCTTTCTGAGGTCTGGGTTCTGTAGCGTGGGCGCACACACACACACATACACACACACATACACACACATACACATACACATACACACACACACACACACAAACACAAACACAAAAACACACTGCCTCCCATCCCAGAGACAAAGTCCAGCGGCTCCACTACACTGAGCCGAATTGTTAGCATCTGGTAAGCATCTCCCTAGACACACACACCTTCACACGCATACATTTATACAAGGCCTTCAGAAAGTATTCATACCCCTTGACTTTTCCACATGTTGTTGTGTTACAGCCTGAATTCAAAATGGATTCAATTGATATATTTTCTCACCCATCTACACACAATACTCTATCATGACAAAGTGAAAACATGTTTTTAGAATTTATAGAACATTTATTGAAAATGAAATACAAAAATATCTCATTTAAATAAGTATTCACACCCCTGAGTCAATACCTGTTAGAGTCACCTTTGGCAGCGATTACAGCTGTGAGTCTTTCTGGTTAAGTCTCTAAGAGCTTTGCATACCTGGATTGTACAATATTTGCAAATTATTATTTAAATAATTATTCTAGCTCTGTCAAGTTGGTTGTTGATCATTGCTAGACAGCCATTTTCAAGTTTTGCCATAGATATTCAAGCTGATTTAAGTCAAAACTGTAACTAGGCCACTCAGGAACATTCAATGGCATCTTGGTAAGCAACTCCAGTGTATATTTGGCCTTGGGTTTTAGGTTATTGTCCTGCTGAAAGGTGAATTTGTCTCCCAGTGTTTGATGGAAAGCAGACTGACCCAGGTTTTCCTCTTGGATTTTGCCTGTGCTTAGATTATTTTGATCCTAAAAAACTCCCTAGTCGTTGCCGATGACAAGCATGCCCATAACATGACGCAGCCACCACCATGCTTGAAAATATGAAGAGTGATACTCAGTGATGTGTTGTGTTGGATTTGCCCCAAACATAACGCTTTGTATTCAGGACATAAAGTTAATTTCTTTGCCACATTTTTTTTCAGTTTTACTTTAGTGCCTTATTGCAAACAGGATGATAAAAAAAAAAAATGTGTATTCTGTACAGGCTTCCTTCTTTTCACTCTGTCATTTAGGTTAGTATTGCTTAGTAACTACAATGTTGTTGATCCATCCCCAATTTTCTCCTGTCACAGACAAAAAATTATTTTAAAGCACATTTTTACTCCTGAACTTATTTAGGCTTGCCATAACAAATTAATTTTTAATTAATTTGTAAGAAATTCTAAAAACATAATTCCACTTTGACATTATGGGATATTGTGTCAGTAACACAAAATCTCAATTGAATCAATTTTAAATTCAGGCTGTAACACAACTAAATGTGGAAAAAGTCAAGGGGTGTGAATACTTTCTGAAGGCACTGTACACATGTATACAGTACATAAACATACAGTTCTACGTGCCACCAAACTGACATCAGTGCCAGAGTTTGAGACACACCCAGTGTACAGCAGCTTGAGCAGTCAAAATAAAATAAAAATGAAAGTGTTTAATGTATACACCAAAAAAGTGCTGGACCAAAACACAGTGAATTATTCCCAGGACTTCCTAGAATTCCCAGAATTCACTTGAAAAATCACTGTGGTACTATATACAGTACAGAGCTGAGAGAAGATTCACAACCGGAGTTACAACACACACACACACACTCATGCATGATGTCTCTGAGGAACTTCTAGGGCTCACTATAAATTCACTACTCTATGAATTTATATATAAATTCACATTAAATGTAGCTAACAATGTAATGCAGTGGTAAGTGTTAATTTACTAACTGATTTACACTAACTGAATTTAATTTAACACTTTATTTTAACACTCACCATTTTTCACACTTTCACAGCCAGTAAATTATACCAAAAATTATTTAAAAACAAATATCGCCTTGATTTCATAAAAAGAAATAGAGATACAACAGGTATTTTTGTGGTATTAGGCTATGAGCACATCACACAATAATAATTATGTTTTGGACGGTTTACTTAAAATGAGGAAGAACATTTCTGACAGGGGTTGTGAAACTCTGAATTGAGCAAGACGAGAGATTTTAGCAGTTATCCCTCTGCTCCGTAGCCTCTTCTTCCACTAGACTACTACATATTTCCCTGTGTTTGGTTTGGATAAAACGTCAATTCACTTAATACTTGTGGGACATCAAAACATTTAAACCTCCCATTTAAAGGGATTAAGTGTATGCATTGCGTGGTTATGTTAACCAGATGTGTTGGTTTTTCAGGATCTGAATCCCTTCTTAAAAAACATTGAGCTAGTGAAAATAAACATGACTTCGCCCTACGCAGATTGTGGACTAATTGTGTATTTGGACTAAATCATTCTTAAGGTTGGAGGGCTTTTTCCATTTGCTAAGGGATGCCAGGGAGTGACAGTTTGACATTGATTAGTGTGTTGACTTGTGGAGTTGGAGAGTTTTACCTGTAAAGAATACAACCACAAAGCTATTTATACAGCGACGAGCTATACGGCTCCCATTATAACACCGCTTTTCTTCAATGGAAAACGTGTATTTGAAACATTATGCTAACAAAATACTGTTACTACAAATGTATCCATTTTCAATAAAAACATTTCTTATTTTATATTGAAAATAATCAGCAATGGAAAAAGAATCAGTCTTGCGCTTGGAAACAATGCATTTTGTTGATGAAATATTTTCTTAGATGAATGTAAGAACAACTAAGGGTATTAAAATTGGCTTTACAGCAACCAAAACATCTAACATCTATCACACTAACCCTAACTGTACTGACCCAGCAACTGTGTTTTAAACAAACAAATGTGACATTTTAGGTTGGCCACAAACCAATTTCTATGAAATACCAAATAAGATCTATGTTAGGGACTACTCTGACATCAATGCCATCCAGAAAAGACTCCACCTATACATGTTTTACACATGTACACAGCAGCTCCTAAATGTATGTTTAAATAAAATCTCTCTTGGCCTGCTTTGTGGAAACTAGAAAAGGCCTATGGATGGTTACAGTCAAACTGGGTCCTGGTTGCACCAGCTGGGAAGGTTCAATTTCATACAGTAAATATCCTGTGGTCACTGAAATGGAACCTATAATGGACCATACAAATGGCTTTGATTGGCTCTATTCAGAAGAGTGGGCTGTGAACAACATTCACCACTGACACCGGCTTGGTTCTGGGCTCAGCTGGTGGGGAATTACTAGAATGGAATGGGTACACTCAATATGGCCGCCGGCCCAGACATCACAGAACTTTGACTTGAATGGTGATTCTAGTGATTATATTTCTATGGTGGGGAGAGGGACTCACCATACACTTGTTGGGCTTCTCTCCCGAGTGGACTCTCATGTGGATGAGGAGTTTGTAGCGGGCGTTGAAGGGCTTGTAGCGGCGGATGCAGCTGGCCCAGAAGCACGTGAAGTCCTCCCCTTTGCGCTGGTCGATGTGCACCTTCTCGATGTGCCTCACCAGCTCCTCCTGCTGCTCATACGTCGCGCTGCAGTCAATCCAGCGGCACACCTGCCTGTCGCTGAGCAGCCCACCGTCCTCACCCTCAGCAGAGCCCGAGGTCTTGGGTCCTGGGAGGATGGAGGAGGATGCTGATGCTGGCTGGTTCTGGTTCTGGAGATGCAACAGGACCCCCGGGCTGGGGCCCTCATATTGGTGCAGGTGGTAGGGCGGGGGCATGGAGGGAAGTGGGGGGGCCGGGTGGTGGGGGTGAGGGCGGAGGTGGCTGGCCACAGCACGGCCAGTCAGGTGGTGGTGATGGTGGTAGTGGTGCTGAAAGAGCTCCTCCTCGCTGGGGGAGAAGTCGTCCAAGGGCTCCTGTTTCAGAGCTCCACCGCCGGCCCTCTGACAGCCCTCCTCCAGCAGAGACACGTCCCCAAGCAACCCTCCTGTCATCAGGGCCCCACTCATCAGTAGCCCCAGCCCCTCGGAGCCTCCTCCTGCTCCACCTCCACCCCCAGGCCCCGGCTGCATGGAGCCAGGCCCCTCACACAGGCCCTGGTTCTGCTGCTCCGGCTCCAGAGATGACACAGAGGAGGACGACGACGACGAGGAGAGGGACAGCAGGCAGGCGGCAGGCGAGGGCAGCTGACAGCTCTCTTGCAAGGGGGGCTGCTGGGGGCTGCTGCGCTGCTGGGGGGGCAGGGGCTTGCGGGGGGCAGCCCGGAAGGAGAAGCCGCCGCTGTGCTGGGGTGAGGGGTTCGTTCGGAGCCCGTTGACACAGGCCACCACGGACATCTGGGAGGAGCAGATGATGGCAGTGATATCGATCCCCTCAGTGGCGGTGACGACGGCGTTCGCTAAGGCGTTAGCATTGCTGCTGGCAGCGGCGGACTGGGAGGCCAGCGACAGGCAGCATCTCTTCAGGCTGCTATTGGTGAGCGGGGAACCACCCTGGGACAAAGACAGCGGGGAGGAGTCATCTTCATTATTAAACGGGTACGCCGCATCCACCGACAGAGGGCTGCCTAAGTTGCCGCCGCCGCTTCCACCACTGAGAGGACCCTCCATCTCCTCCCGCCGGACCCCAATGCCTCCCCTGCCACTCTGGAAGCCACCCTGGGTGGTGGGGGGGACCCCCAGTCCCAGGGAGATATTGTAGCCCATGGAAGCCTCCTGTTTGATGGGGTAGGGGAGAGGAAATACCCTGGCCGCATTGGAGCTGCCGCAGCCTGGGTCGGGCGAGGCCAGGGATCTCTGGAAGGCAGAGGACCTGTAGAGGGGAAAAACACACGGCAGGGAATCTGAGCAGAGCGAGGCAATTAGGACAACACCGGAGAGTATATGAACACTATTAGCCACCCGCTGTTGATAGATAAAGGCCATGGCTGTCTGGGTCCTGCCAAGTCATCCTTCCCACAGGCTGCAGCTTTCCGGCCCTGTACAACAGCAGGGCTGTGAGATTTAGCCCTGGCCTAGAGGGATCGCTACCTCTCTTTCTGCTACCTTGCTCTCTGTTACCTCTCTCTCTCTCTCTCTCTCTCTCTCTCTCTCTCTGTTTACAAAAACAACATCTCCCCCCAGAGAGCCCAGATAGTCTGAAAGTCTCAATCAGAGGGCCTAGCAATCACATCTCACAGACAGTGAACTTTTCAGACTAAACTCCTAACAACCACATCTCACAGATAGTGAACTGAACTTTCACAGAGAAATGGAATCAGTGGATCGATGCTACACAAGCATTAGTGAATTGTGGTGTCCCTTTCAAAACAGGGCAGCATCCACCAGAAACAGATGATCTGGGAGTGATTTTATGAATAAATGAAAGGGGACCTTGAGCCCTGTGAGCAGTTATGAATGGGCATTTATGGCTAAGAATAGGAGAGCGGGCAGATACAGAGGACAGAGGGGAGGCCATGGATGGGGCTTCTGTGTAACTAGTCTGACAGGCTTTGATGACACAAAGGGGTTAAACCTAACCCTACATGTTGGGATAAATAGGAGTCACCTGGTTAGTTGGCATAATGGCGGCCTGTGAAGGGTCAGCGTTTACAATACTGTGTATTATGGTGAGAATCTTGCCCCAGGTGAATGGGGAGCCAGGTCGTATTTCTCCATGCGTCGCTGTGATCTCCTACATAATCATTCCTGTCAGTTTACTCATTATGTATTTTGTGCAAAGCTCTTGAGTGATGTGAAAAGGCCCCTCTTTCTCTTTCCTGTCTCCATGAAGGAATCGTCTTTGTCCTCTCTCTCTCTCTCTCTCTCTCTCTCTCTCTCTCTCGACGCACACTGGCAGAAAACGCTAGCTGCCTGGCTTCGCCGTAGTCAATAAAGAGTGAGAGAGAGTCCCCCCCTTTCTTTCATGAGCGCTATTTCCTGTTTGGCTGTACCAATGGCATTCAGAGACAATGTGGGAGAATTTAATGTCTGTCCAGAAGCACTTTATGGTCTGCGTCCCAAATGGCACCCTGTTCCCTCTAGTGTGCACTACTTGGACCAGATCCCTATGGGCCCTGGTCAAAAGTAGTGTACTACATAGGGAATAGGATGCCATTTGGGACGGAATCGGTGTATATGACTGTAGTCATAGAGGACAGAGAGTTGAAGGGGATGAGCCCATAACTGCAATGAAACTACACAGAGGTCAGAGAGAGTGATAGCAATCTGTTTCTGAGCTGAGAGAGTCAAGTAGAGTCAAGATACAATCCCTGTCACTCCTCTATGACAGAATGTCACATAGAGGATACAATAACACAATCATTTTTCGTCATTTAATTTGACAGATATATTATGGCGATTATTGTCGTCATCACCTGTGTACGACTATCATCATCAACTTCATCATTCAGTATGATAATATCCTCTAGCAGGAGTAGGAATAAACGTAGCAGTACAGGTGTTTGAATTTTCATAGGATTAGTGGTAATACTTCAGATGTCATGTCAAATAAATAGTCTGATCAACTGACGTCACTGTTTCAGTCCTACTGTTCTCTGACTGTGTTCTCGTCTACTATAGTGTCAGAACCTGAGGTTCAGTGTCGGTGTTGTTCTTACCTGGCGTCGGCGTGCTGCTGCTGGCTGTCCTGCAGCTGGAGGGTGTGTGTGGGTGTGGGCCGTTCACAGTGGACACTGTGGTAGAGTCCCCCTGGACCTGGCTGGCCCCCCGGTGGCACGGCCACACTCTGCCCACTCTGTCCACAGCGCATCAGTGTGCCCTCACTGCCCCGCAGATCTGACCCACTCTCCTTCTCTGGGCAGTAGGCACCGCTGCAACCACCGTTGACTGGAAAACACAACCGAGATAAGATAGCAATTTATTAATATCATACCATAATATTTGCCATTTAGCCGACGCTTTTATCCAAAGTGATTAAGAATCATGCATGCATACATTTTCTTATGGGTAGCCCAGCGGGAATCAAGCCCACGATCCTGGCGGTGTTAATCCCCAAAGGTGAAATTTGTTTGCACAAGATAATACATACACCAATAAATACACAATGATGATGACAATCACAACACTGTAACCCTCAGAGTCACTAAAATAAACCAGTATTTATTCATTTCCAAAGGGGAAGTTGGCTCAGTTAGCCTGTTTTGCTAATCTAACGACAGTGCAGACAGATTAATAACTGCCATAAAGTGCAACAGATTTCCTCTGAGTCGCATCCATCAGTGACATGTTGAAATTGCATTAGATTACAATGAATCTCTTGAGGTAAAATTGCTGGCTGTGAGTTTGTGGATCCGTTGATCTGTGGAATGATTTTATGCTCTTTGGCGAACTTTCAAAGATGATGACAGCAGTAATGATGCCAAAAGATTGACTTGCGTAAATTCATGTTGAACTGTGCACACAACAACACTTCATAGTGTGGATCTCATATATCCTGAATGGCTCAGTTTGTGGAGCATGGGATTGTGGGTTCGATTCCCGCTGGGGCCACCCATATGTAAAATGTATGCACACATGACTAAGTTGCTTTGGATAAAAGACTCTGTTAATGGCATATGTTAGTACCGTATGTTCCAAATGCTCGTGTTTGACTATTTGCTATTGAAGATGCACTCAGTTAGCCCACAGCTGGGCATACATTTGTTTATTCGATGAGGGGGAATATGTTTGATTTACACATACTACACAATTATTTTGTATTCCTATTGTGAGAGATATTTTGTTGCACCACTAGCATAAACAATCTATATTTAGCACCATATGACTTTTGAGTATATATATATTTTTGCTTTTAGTTGGCCTAACAAAATGGTTCCATAAAACATATGAAAATATGAATAAAAATCTGAAATGTGACACATGAAAGTGAGCAAAGGTGGAGTTGTGTATGGGGAAATATTTGCAGAAGGAAAGACGATACCCCCGATGCTCATTCGTGTGTAGGTGGCCACATTTCCCTGCTCCAACCTCCCTAACTCAATTTCTCAAATTCAATTTGCTCATAATTATGTTATTGACAATGTTATCCCCATGACGTATTGTTGATAAAGGCACTAAACACTTCCTGATAGAAGAGAATAAACTGAAGAAAGGATGGAGGTGAAGGGCAAGGGGAAGGATAGAGAGACAGGAAGAGGAAACAGAAAGATATAAGAATGAAGACACAAAAATTTTAAAAGACAAAAGAGAAAGGGAAAAAAAAATTTTGGGGTAGGGTTCCCCCGGGATTTTGGGGGGTTTTGGGGGGGGCTTGTTTTTTCCCCTTTTTCCCCTTTTAAAACCCCCCCCCTTTTTTTTCCCCCCCCTTTTTTTTTTTTTTTTCTTTTTTTTTTTCTTTCCCCCCTCTCTTTCCCTTTTTTCCCTCCCCCTTTTTTTCCTTTTTCTCTCCTTTCCCCTTTCTTTTTCTTTTTTTTTTTTTTTCTTTTCTTTCCTTTCTTTCTCCTCTTTTCCCCCCTTTTTCCCCCCCTTCCCCTCCTTTTCTTTTTTTTTCTCCTTTTTTTTTTTTTTTTTCCCCCCCCCTTTTCTCTTTCCCTTTTCCCCTTTTTTTTTTTGTTTTCCCTTTTTTTTTTTTTCTTTTTTTTTTTCTTTTCTTCTTTTTTGGTTTTTCTTTTTTTTTTTTTTTTTTTTTTCTTCTTTTTTTGGGTTTTCCCCAAAAAATTTTTTCCCCGGGGGGGTTTTTTTTGGGGTTTTTTTGCGGGCCTTTGGGGTTTTTGGGTTTTCCCCTTTTTTTTTTTGGGGGGGGCCCCCCCCCTTTTTTGGGGCTTTCCCAAAAACCCCCCCCCTTTTGTTTTTTTTTTTTTTTTCTTTTTTTTCCTTTTTCTTTTTTTCTTTTTTTTTTCTTTTTTTTTCCCCCTTTCCCTTTTTTTTTTTTTTTTTTTTTCCTTTTTTTTCTTTTTCCCTTTTTTTTTTTTTCTTTCCCCCTTTTTTTTGTTTTCCCCCACCTTTTCCCCCGCTTTCCCCCCCGCTCCCCTTTTCCCCCTTCCCCCCCCCCCTTTTCCCCTGGGTGCTTCTGCTCATTTTCCCCTCGGAAAGCCTTGCGGTCTGTGGCGGTGGAGTTGCGTACCAGGCTGCGATGCGGCCCAACAGTATGCTCTCGATGGTGCTCCTGTAGAACCCTCGGGGACAGGCCGAATTTCTACAGCATCCTCAGGTTGAAGAGTCACTGCCGTGCCTTCTTCATCATGGTGTTCGTGGGGTTTGACAATTTCAGCTCATCTGAGATGTGTACGCCGGGGAACTTTAAGTTATTGAACGTCTCCATGGCGGCCCCATTGATGAGGATGGGGGCGTGCCCAACCTGGTTCCTCCTGAAGTCCACAATCAGCTCCTTTGTTTTGCTGACGTTGAGGGAGAGGTTGTTAACCTGGCACCACGCTGTCAGAGTGCCTATCTCCTCCCTGTAGGCCGTCTCGTCGTTGTTGGTGATCAGGCAAACTACTGTTGTGTCATCAGCTAACTTAATGATGGAGTTGGAACTGTGTGAGGCCACGCAGTCATTGGTATACAGGGAATACAGAAGCGGACTGAGGACGTACCCTTGTGGGGCCCCCGTGTTGAGAATCAGTGTCAAGGAGGTAATGTTGCCTACCTTCACCACCTGGTGTCAGCTTGTCAGGATGTCCAGGACCCAGTTGCATAGGGAGGAGTTCAGACCCAGGGCCATGAGTTTTGTAATGAGCTTATAGGGCACTATGGTATTGAAGGTCGAGGTGTAGTCGATGAACAGCATCCTCACATATGCATTCCTTTTGTCCAGGTGGGTGAGGGCAGTGTGCAGTGCAATGGCAATTGCGTCGTCCGTGGATCTGTCAGGGCAGTAGGCGAATTGGAGAGGGTTGAGTGTGTTGGGGAGGGAGAAGGTGATGTGGTCTTTGACTAGCCTCTCGAAGCACTTCATGATGACGGAAGAGAGTGCTACTGGTCGGTAGTCATTCAGTTCAGTTATTTTCCCTTTCTTGGGCACTGGGATGATAGTGGACATCTTGAAGCAGGTGGGTGTAGCGGGCTGAGCTAGAGAGAGATTGAAAACGTCTGAGAACATAACAGCCAGCTGGTCTGCACATGCTCTTGCGAGGGTTAACACTTTTGAATGACTTACATTCATCCTCAGTGGAGACAGTGAGTATGTAGCCCACGTTGAGGTGGTTAAGCATAGAAAGAGAAAGACACCAAGGAAACGTTTTATGATTACATTTGCCCCAACTCCCAAATGTTCACTGTGTCTCCTGAATCAGGTAGGCACATTCCTTCATATGATGTGGGAGTGCCCTGCAGTTAAATGCTTCTGGGACAAAGCAAAAATAATAATTTTGAAGTGCATGAATGTAAATATTCAATGCTTTGCATCTATTATGTTACTTAACGATGATAGCTCCTTGAATATCTCAATCAATCAGAGATGATTACTGTTGGCAGGCAGCACTGCCGCAAAAAATATGTTCGAAGTTATAACATTAGAACTATCGACAGCGAGAATAAATGGTGCTAGTCAAGGAACAATTGAGGACAAATACACTTGACTCTGTAAAGAATAATCTTAACTAAAGCCCAACACATACATAGAAACAAAATACAGTATAGATATTACTATTTTTTTTGTGGTTGGAGTGATGGAGACATGTTGACTGGATAGGGTTGGGGGTGGAGGCCCACTTTTTCCTGTTTATTTTTATTTTTAAACACTAAATGTTATATTACTTTGTACTATTAAATGTTTGATGTTCTCTTGGCAGCCCAAAGGTACAACAGAAAAATATATATGGAAAATAATACATGAAAATGTTATATGAACTGAATATATGAAAATATATTAATTTGAAGATTGTACCTGTAACCACCCCGAACGAAGAAATGACAAATAAATAAACATTTGGTCACATAAAAAGAAAGAGAGAGAGAGAGAGAGAGAGAGGGGAGAGATGGAGAAGAGAAAAGGCGGAGATTAGTAAAAAGAGAGAGAAGTCAAGAGGTGAAAGAAAAAGAAGAAGGGTAGTGGTGCAGGTAATGAATAGAGAGAGAGAGGGGAGAGGTGGAGAAAGTCAGGGCAAACACTGCAGTGTCACTGAGGGACTATGAGCTGCATGCAAGTTTCATTTAGAGCCATAAACAGAAGGACTCTTTCAGCTCTGCTCTGTTTTCAAGGAATACAAATGGTTCTGTTTATTAAGTCCTGGATCGTTAGGCTATGTCTTTTTTTGTTCTGTTTTTTTGGGGGGGCTGGGCATTTCCAGTTAGCGTAACCAACTGTGTTTGTAAAAACTTCAAGGCCTGTGGATCGATCTTGCCTCATCTCTGGAATAAGAGTGTTTCAATCAGGATGGCCAGTGGCGACATGACTCAGGACAGAATCAACGAGAATCAGGATGAATGTATACTATGGCCTTGACTGTATACAGCCTTTCACTATGTACAGTCACACACAGGCGCACAGCTACAGTCCCTTCAGAAAGTATTCATACCCTTTGACTTTTTCCACATTTTGTTGTGTTACAGCCTGAATTTGAAATGGATTACATTTAGATGTTTTGTTACTGGCCTACACACAATACCCCATAATGTCAACGTGGAATTATGTGAAAAGCTGAAATGTCTTGAGTCAATAAGCATTCAACCCCTTTGTTATGGCAAGCCTAAATAAGTTCAGGAGTAAAAATGTGCTTAACAATTCCCCTAAATAGTTGCATGGACTCACTCTGTGTGTAATAATAGTGTTTAACATGATTTTTGAATGACTACCTCATCTCTGTACCC